TATACGGGACGTATTATGTAATAATCGTCATCGCGATATGAAAAGCCAAGGGAGATTTTAACGAATCTTACGAGCAAACAGAATCTCGACTCGCGGCGGCGAGCACATTTTGAATTAATCTAGGACGAGTAAAGTGTCGATCATCAGTAGCCACTACCGTGAACAAGGGCGGACAAGGGAGGAAACGGCAAGGGCTCGTTGTACGTTCATTGTACTCACCTCGGCCCGCAACACGCTACTCCGCGTGATTACGCGAGGCGCGAACCGCGAACAATTGGACAGCATCGCAGCCATCCTCAGGCAGGCGAAGCGTGCAACTGCCCGCACACACACACACACAACACACACACACACACACACAACACACTGGGACGTCCACTCGCGAACGACGAACGGTGAGCGGACAATAGGAACGACGGGGCGCGCGCCCACGGTTTCTCTGGTTTCTCTGGTTTCTCTAGCTTCTCGTTCGTGGCGACGAAACGAGAAACGAGAAACAGGAGCCGGGAGACTGGCAGAGACTAGTGTCGGAAAGATTGCATCAGATCACAGATGTGCGGCTGTGTGCGGCGACATCTGTTAAGAATGGATTACACTAGCATTTTACCTGTATACTCCATATATTCCCAGCAAATTTTTAGCAATTCTCAAGCCACAAACTGGCTGTTTTTTTTTTTTTTTTCTAGAAAACGTGTATTCACTATTATTATTCCAATTTTAATCTGGGTTCTACTGATATTCTTCATTTTTTTTCTAATCTTAAGAATTGAAAAGATGAAGAGTAAATTGAAGCCAGATTTGTCATTAGGCATTAAGCTATATGTACATTGATGGAAACAGGCATTTAATAAATAACAAAGGCTGCTTTCCTTTTAGAAGACAATCGTCACGAGTATTCTATTTTTGTTCATTGAATGCTAATGCTTTTTTATTCATTTCCACTAGAATATAGATTAACTTTAATTTCAATTCAACTCATCTTTTTTTCTAATTCTTAAGATTAATTTAATCTCGATTCAACTTTTTACTCTCTATCTTTTTTTAATTCTAAAAATTAAAAAAAAAGAAAAAGATAAATAATAAGTTAAACTAAGATTAAAGTTAATCTTACAATGGTGGAACCAACTCTTAGAGCCTAAAAAAATCATGGAAAATTAAATCAAAATTAAAGTTGATCTACAGTGGAAGTGAATATAAGAACAAGGATAAAATGACATTTAAATTGTATCCCTCTAGGAAAAAGAGTCGAAGATAGAATGAAAGCAGCTTTGCAATTGTTGTAAAATTCTTGAATACGATCGGTTTATACATATAAATCTAATGAGGAACTAAGGGCAAGACCAATCATATTGAAGAACTTTACAACAGTTGCAAAGCTGCTTTTTCTGCTGAACGTAGCTAATGACATTCGTGTCTTTTAAAAGAAAAACTAGCCTACGGTCTCAAAGTACACGTGTGTTTCCGAATATATCAGAAGAAGGAACGAGAATGTAAGAAAGATTAAAGCTAATTAATTTCTGTGAGAACTGGCATTGCTACTGTGATGGAATTCAATATTTTAGGTGTTGAAAGAAATTCACATAACTTGATAGAATAGTATTTAACAATATACAAAAATTTTTAAGAATACATTACATAGTCTCAATATAATTTTTACAAACTTCACTATTTATTTTTTGTAGTATATGCACAGCCTTTATTCCCTGTGTACCTTTGGCAAATAGTGGTGTTTACCCACATCGACAACTTTTTATTGTACATCTCCTCAGAGATGCATGTGACAGACATTGCAAACACAATCAGTCTTGCATTCTCGATAAACTCTGCAGTTATCTGTTCTGGTATCTTTTGAAAGTTTGTGTCGAGACACGGGTATCCAGTGACATATACGTAGTCGAACGGTTGAATTTCTTTACCCAACAAACCACCATTCGTCTCTGACCACCACTCGTTCTCCAGAACCTATCATTGGAAATAATTCATCTATATTGTTGCAAATAAATACATATAAATCATAGAATTTATTGATTTTATAATTTACAAATTTATAAATTCTCTTATAGTGAATTCACTTGCATTATACTATAAATTAGTGCACTAAAACTGTTATACATGAAATTAGCAAAGTTAAATGTGAATAGATATTTTAAACAATTAAATATCAATAATGATATTGTCATGTTATTTAACGAAATATATATTTAAAAGTTGATTACATTATGCCATTACATTTAGACACTTTATATAAAGTAACCATTAATGTGCATTAATCCAGTGTAGCATGAGTGACCGAATTTACTATTAAATTCTTACAGCTATATCATGTAAAGATGCATCACGTGGATAGGAGAATTTTGGACGTGTCTCAGGAAACTTCTTTGGACCTTCTTTGGAGCTTCTACTCGCTTTTGCTTCACTTGTCCTTACATTTTCAGCTTGGTTCCTGTATTTCTTATCAATTTCCTGCCGTTTTTTCAACGAGTACGTATATTGTTCTAATTTATAATTAATCTGTGCCACTCCTGTCCCATCTTCAACTATAAGAGAATCCAAGAGTTTAAGTGTCTTCTTGGATATTGTTAAACTTGTTGCTCATACTTTAGGTTGATTCTTTTTTCAATTGATCACAATTCTTTCACAATTCATCTTCCTTTTTCTTCTCTCCACATTGGAGAAAAAAAAGAGTGCAAGAAGTTGAGCTAAAAAAAAAGGAAACAAACTTCTTTCCTTACTTGTCAGAAACAGATTATTGACATTGCGCTTAACACGCGTAACAGTGCCGACTAGTTCGATTTTATGTACTTTAATGTTAGGCATATTAAATGGGTGAAAATCTATATAGCGGCCTTCCTTGTAAGGTACTAATCGATACAACTCCATGATGAGCATTGGTATATTCAATGTCGTCCGTGAATCTAAAAATAGAATCGAAATTTCTCACTCAATAATTTAAATGTAATATAACACACGTTAGTACTTAGGGTACCTTCCAGCAAGAAACACAGTCACTCGATTCTTTAGAGGGATAGCTATGATTGATCGGTTTTGTAACTACGGATGTTATTAAACCTAATTAAGGATGTCCATGTACACATAGTCATAGATGACACAAGTTTGTTTGCATTGTTTGACTGCTCCATACGCTTCAATATGCTCCAACATGTTCTTATCATCGCTCCTACTCACTCTAATACATTTGTTGGAATGAGTAGAAGCTATGCGACGTGAAAAAACCTATTGTGTAACATAGTGATCATATATATATATATTATCTCTCTATTGTTTACCAAATCAAACTGAAATGATCACTGTGTTATTACATTGTACTAAGTATGCCTCTTGCTAGAAAGCATCACTAATGTTATTTTTAGATGTTCATTCTAACCGAATGAATTTGCCCTTACCTGTTCGGACGTTGATACCGGGCCATTCCTTTTTCGTCGAGAGGAATTTTTGGTGGTTGTCATACTCCTTTCTGCTGAAGACAGTAATACCCTTCATTGATTTTTCGTTAGACATTTTTCTCGTGTGACCGATTTGGGTTTAGTTTTTCATAAGATCCTTTTATCCGATGATGCTTCCGCTGCTTTCCCGATTGCGTCAACAGCTGTCTACAGCTCATAAAAAAACCGGCTTTTATAGGACTTGAAAAATCTACGAAAGCAGCGAGAAACTCTGAGATGCCCTGAAATACCCGAGGAACTATGCGCGACGAACTCACCATAGTAGGGATACACTCCGTTTCGCATAATGCGCATGATGTATAATTTTATCATTCTTCAATATTCAGGATGAAATGATATATTATGGACACCATGCGTGAAACGAAACGCACTTTAATACACTGCACAACTGCAGTACCTAACTTTGCATGCATCAGAGAATTACCATTCCACGCTAATCTGTCTCAGACAATGTGATACTAGCCTAATTAGCGGACGTTGATAATATTTCGTCGGTAAAAGAAAAACACTTTAATTCTGTTGTTCTCTTTGCGAATTCTCCCGCGCGGTTCAAAAGAAAGTGAAGCTCTCTTTAGTCACAAAACGGAAATGTGGGATAATTTCTAATAATTATAGAGACTTTTGAATATACTTATATACTAGTAATTACGTTTGGTAAAAAACGGACCGAAAATCTGCATTTTTAAAAAAATATAATTTCGTAATTCCATTTTTTTGCAGGCGCATATTATAAGACAAAATTCAGTAAATTCATTTGTTTGAATATTCAAACATTCACTTCTTCCGAAGGCAATAGTGCGCGAGGACAGTTTACGGTTACAGGAAAAAGGTCCTCATGTCCTCTCTTAGATTTCTCTCTGGTGTTGCAAAGACGAGGATTCATTAATCGATTAGCGACTTCACGTATGTATATTTAAATAAAGTTTATTTTGAAGCATTTTGCACAACACTGCTCTACACATCTGTGTTTACGTAAGTAAAATAATCCCGATCGCAAGAATCCGCTTCAATATAATCGTATATTTATATGTACACACCTTACAGATACCAAGTTCGTTGGATTAATATAGTACATAGTAAGCTGCCAAATGATTCTCGAATATACATATATCTCTCTCGAGTTTGCTGCCACTCGCTTTTAGAGTCGCCTTTCGTTAGTGACTAGGTCAGTAATACATTTTAAGTCATGCAGCGGTTTGCAAGTTTCGACTACGAATAAAACGGCGAATATCAAAAAAAACGTTCCTTGTCGCTGCGCAGAAAAGGTTTTGCATAAACGTCGCATTGTCTCTGGTGTAAATGCAATAGCATCCGGCTTTGGCAGTATGATTTTTCATTCTCCGATTTAGGTATACAGCAGTGCAATTTCTCTTTTCTTTTTCCTTTATTAATACACATTATGTGTCGTAACTTAGGTCTTTCTTAAAAACACGTCGACGGCTTACAGCTTGAATGAATAAACGTATGTACGCAACATTGAACATCGTGCGATAAGTAATGCAGATATAGGGCCTATCTTGCAAAATGAACATACAAAACACTAAAAGTTCAAATATTATTTAAATATTCGTTATTTCTCTACCCTGTAATAAGCGACGACAAGATTCTGAGGTCCTTGTACGCATCTGCTCTTGATTGACACAATAACAATTGTTCACGTTTTGTACTTTGTAAGTTAGGTACAGCCCATTCTACAATTGCATAAGCGTAGTTGTAACTGATTGTAGTTGTAAGAATTGACCAATCAAATATTTTCCTCATGTTTGACTGCGATCGATTAATTCTTACAACTACAACCACTTGGAACTTAATAGCTTAGGGTGTCTTCCAAAAAGCGGATCAATACAACCCAGTGAACATCTCATTCTTGTTTAACATTAGTGAACAATAAGGATGTAATGATGCACCCGTGTCACACCGCGTCATATGTGTCTTGTTGGAAGGTATCCTTAATGTACATGTTCATCACAACGCTCGGACGACCGTCGAATTGAATCCTTTGAAAACTCACAATAGCAACGTGATTTTTGCATGGTCAGAGAAGCCTCTTGGAGCTCTCCTGCGACATATTGATCGAGAATTACATTCGTTACATCGCCACAAAGTAAAAAAGAAGCACGAAGAGAAAGAATAAATAAAAAATATTGCACAAAAATAGCTTATACATTATGAATTAAAGTCGACGCGCAATGTCTTTTGGATGGATGTTTTATGCACGGGATGGAAGAGTTACTGTTCCGCACGTTATGTTTTATAATAATACAGTTTGATCGTGACGTTGTAATGATTTATGACTAATAATAACTAACTAAATGCTGAGATTGCGCCAAGGTTGGGAAAGTCTCTTTGAAAAGTAACGTTACTCGTTGCGAGTAATGACTAAAAAGTAACGAGTTACAAATGCCGTTAGTAATGAGTTAATTTTTTTCAGTTTTAACGAGTGACTTTCAACTCGTTGCAAGTAACGATCGAATGACTTTCCAACCCTGATGTTACTGTAACAGTCATACGAAAAATTCGTCATTGCCAAATTGTTATTATGAGATATAAAATATATAACGGTGTACATACAAGTATAACTAGTAACTTCCATTCCCTGATTTTATAATACCATTGGAAAAAGTAAAAATAACGTGAATATCAGAATTCACATTGTCAATTAATCTAAATGCAAATCCGAAATGCGAATAGAATCACGAAAAACATTGAATATAATGTTCGTTCAAGAAACAGCGTTTCCATTTGCACCGATGAATATACATTGCATTAAAAAAATGCTCTTGTACGATAGCCTTTTTTTCACGCGTTATATCTTAACGTCGATCAGCGAAATGTTTTGTAATATAATGGAAGAAAAGGATAGACTCGATTGTCTTCGTCGATATCGTATGCGAAAAATATATACATGCAATAATAAATTTGACGTTTAGAGTTCTTTCGCATTGCAGTAGTGCAATCGTAAGAAAATGAAATTCTCATTCCGTTGGTAAGAATTAGGATCGAGAATTAGCTCGTTCCAAGTAACAAAAGAAGTGATTCTCGCTGCAGAAAACCAAACCTGCTTCGAGATTTCTCATCAGCATTTTAATAAATCGATGAAAGACTTGCAAAGACTGATACTATTATCAGCGAAGACGTACCTCTCGAAGGGTGCTACCGCATAATCACACATAGTCATTTGTCGACTTTGAATAATGTCGAAAACTTGCCAGTATAAATCAATAATCATCCTTATGCGATATTTCTAAACGCGACTTTTTTTCATTGCAAACAACATTGTTATACGACTAGCTTCTACTCTCTACAACCGTAACTCGAAGGATAATGAAAATATCCTCCTTAATCGTTTTTAGAACGTATCCACGCCACAGGAATCTCGAAGCAAAGGAAACCAGATCAGGAATCTCATATTACACAGGAGATTCCATCAATCAGAAAATACCAATTGCACTCGATCAAGATACAGAATGAGCCTGATGAAGTGAAAATCAGTAGGGAATATTACTTAACGGTCAAAGACAGAGACAGAGAGAAAGAGAGAGAGAAAAAGATTCCTCAACGAAACTGAGCTGTTAATTATGAAGCAATTAGAACTTCAGAAGATATTGATTCACATATCGTGTGGCGTTTGTG